TGATAGGCGAATGTTCGAAGCTTTTTCCTCATAAGAAAATCGTTAGTAAACATTGCTCTCATTTGTCGACATTCATTTCAATATGTACGTGACCTTTCACGGGCTCGACGAGAAAAAAAAGAAATGCAGAATAGGTCATGCATATTCTATGATTTTAACGTTTAAGAGCGAGGAGAAAAGTCGAGATAATCTTCATTTAAAACATCAAAGTATTTCACAAAGACAACAATTATAGAAGAAGTCAACGGAAATGCTCAAAATAATGTTCATTAGTATCAATACACTGTTCCAATCTTGCAAGGTGTTACTGTCAGAAAATAGAAAGCCTACGTCTGGTTTCGTATTAGAAGACTATGTATGTGGTGTTCTTAGAATAGAAGAAAAGATAAATATACAATTATATAACAAAAAAAACAAGATGATCAAGAATATGCGTCGGAAAAGGGATACGAACATAAATAAATCTGTTTATATGTTATTTTATATCAGCATATATAAAAGTGTAAGATGATCGGCTGAACCGCACTGCCCATAGCTGCAAAATTTTTAAGATAAAATTAACCACCATCGCACAAAAATAGATATTTGGTTTTTGAAAATTTCCTATGTTTAAACTCATGCTTCGAAAATGTTCTTGTCTAATGTTCGCGTCAGAATTAAAAAGAAGTCGATGTAAACTCAATAATTCAACAACAGCAACACTTAATGATCTGCAATTATCAACAATCGAAAGAGAAGAACGTCGGACATCTATTTATCTGACACTAAACAAGATAAAGTTATTTAAAAAAACCCGTCATCTATGCAAAACATTCGAAAACAAAGGAATGAAGACAGTCTTCCGCTGCGCTGTACTTTTGACTTTGACATGTACTTCAGATTTATAGTTCAAGGCATGATTCAGGTGATTATCTTTTCATATCTTAATGTTGATAATACAAAATTGCATGTCTATTCTGTTGGCGTTTAGAAAATTTTCTGGTTTTTTATCAAAATTTCTTTGAAACGGAACACCATTTTTATATTTTGTGAAGTTCATGAGTTCAAAGTAATTTTGTTTTATATAGTACCAAACAAAAAGACATTCGAAGTTCTCATCCTTCGATTACTGAAAACCGTAGATCGCTAGCTGTTGCCGTTGTTGAGTTATTAGGACTTTTACTCGCCCCTCTTTAATTCTGATACGAAAATATAAAAAGTCATCGAAAAATATCAGTCATCATCATCGATCAATTGATTAGCTTCAGGAAGTTTCGGGTTCAAGTCTGGTCAACAAAAAAAAACTATATTCTTATGTGAAAAAGAAGCCTTTGCACACTCATCTATCATTGTTAAAAACAATCTGCTTAATGACTTCAAGCAAAGCGGAGATATTTATGGTTCATGATATAATATCGTATGAAAAATAGTATTTAAATGTATTTACCTGATCGGTCATTTTAAACCATAAATATTTATCAAATACCGTTGTTAATACATCAATACGTGTCGTAACTGCTTCTTTAGGATTTCTATATTTAAGTAAAATATTGAAATAAATATTTCTTTTTTGTTAAACTTAGTTTTTTTTTTATATTTACAAAATAATATTTTCAATAAGTTCTTTTAATGCAAATGACCATTCAGGATTATTTGGTCGAATAAGATGTAAAAGTTTCGTACATGATTGTTTAATCATTTGTTCACGAAGTGGTGTTCTCTAATAGAATAAAACAAAAAAACATTTCTTTTCTTTTTTTATTCGAAAAAATTCAAACCGATATCGATGTTAAACGTTTAATATCAAATAAATGTGTTACTATTGTATGTGGTAAACAACATAATTTATTTGCTAAATCTTCAAAAATATTTAAACAATCTTCATAAAGTGTTCGTGTTGTTGTTGTACTCTTTTGATCAACCTTGAACAAAAGAAAAACAACATTTAATAATAATAAAAAAATTTTTTGTTTCTTTTTTTACAATTAAATATTGATAACATATTTTCATAATTTCATCCATCATTTTCCATACAGTCATACCAAATAAATTTAAAGCACATGAACAACTTTTATCATTGATAGATTTTAAAAATTGTCGAAAATTTATTAATATAATATTAACATTTTGACGTTTCATTAATACTTGATGAAGAATTGTCAACCAACATAATGGTAATTGTTGAATTCGATTTAAAAAACATTTTCGATGTATAATATCATCATTTGATAATTGTACATGATGTTGAGTTTTTAAACGATATTGATGAATATCAATCAATGTTTGAGTTAAAACAAATAATAATGTTGATAATGGATCAATATCATTATTTATTGGAGTTTCTAATCTAAATACAACAAAAAAAAATTATTTTACAAATGATGAAAACAAGAAAAATGTTTTCTACCTTTCAACAATTATTCCACATAGAACAGCTATGACTGATGTACTATGCCATTGAGCTTTGGCTAAATGATTTGTAATTAACTAAATAAAACAAAAAAGCAAAATAATTATTTCATACGAAATAAATCAAATATTCAAAAAAAAGAATACAAAGCAGACATCTATTGAAGTTTTTTCTTTGGTCTGCTATGAAGTCATATAGATAAATATGAACCAATTTTAAGTTCTAAACATATATTTATTGTACAAAACTGAAAGATCAAAAATTTGACTATTGTTTAGAAGTTGTTCCATGTTGCACCTTTGTTCGTACTATAGTTAGTATACCGATAGGAGAATAATGACTTTTGTCTGTTTTGAATCATGTGAAATTCAAAATTCGATTCTTTGTCAAATTATTTCGCATAAGCAGTTATTTAAAAGAATTGAACCAATGTAGAGAATTATTTATTGTATTCGAGCAAACAACTGTTGATTGGTTAATTATGGACGCTCGTTGAAATCACAATTTTAACACTACTGAATATTCTAACAATTCATCTAATTGAATAGGCGATTGATGAATTCACTGATGAAAAGACTCTTTCGTTGACTATTCTATGTAAAGAAGCAATTTTCTTTCAAGTGAATTATAAAACTCTTTAATATCAATTCGAACCTAAGAAACTTTCACAATAACTAATTTATTATTCAAAAACAAAGTTCAACTACAAATAGGACTATTTTGTAGAACTCATATATATATAGAGTTTAAGTTTTAAATCGAATTTTTGCGCTCCTCCTCCCCCTTCCACGAACGATATTAATAACAAGCCTTAGAAGATTCTAGAATCTTCCTTGTGACTTAAATGGATGAAATACGTTTTTCGAAATTAGAAATAACACAATTTCTGATATTTGCGTAGATAACCGATTACATGATAGATATCAAAAAAGATGTTTTGATTTATCACAAATGTCACTTGACCAACATAAAAGCATGAACTGATTAAAATACCTTTCGTGAATAATCCACATCAGTATTTCTGAGTTGATCGAGACATATAATAAGTCATTAAGACCTGCTGTGGATATAAAGAATGTGTACAACAGGTATATGAAAGGACTAATAATAATCACAATAATAAATTATGAACATGAAATAAAAAAAGCTATAGCATTTTTTGATAGTCGATTATCGTTCGAAAAGAGCTATCATCTTTTACAGGATTTGTACTTTGTGTATTTTTTATTCATATAATAAAGCTAAACAACATATGTAAGTTCTACATATCAACTCTAGAGAAGTTGCCCTCACAATTTTAAGTATTTATTTTAATTAATGTCAAATAGAACGAATGAAAACCAAAGTTCATTATTCGAATCTATGAATTTGTTCGCATTCAATCAGAATAAGTTATATACAAAATACTCTAGGTATTTGTATACACCCCTCCTCCCACTGATCTCTATTACAATTTACATCACATTAACTGATAATAAATAACATACTTGTAATAATTCCGTATTAATTCCAGGTGAAAATGTATATTTGTCATGTAAATCAACAATATTTTGAATAAAATAATGTATTAATGTTGTATTTAAAACATGATTATTAATAATCCATAATAAAAATTCAATTGATCTCTAGAAGAAAACCTCATCTGCTTTTGAAATTTATTTATAAACATTTTTTCTTTTACTTTAATGGCTGTTTGATTTAAACCATGATTAAGACTTGCAGTATCATCGTCATCACGATTTAAATGACGAAATATACATTCTAAAATCAATGCTAATTCATCATTTCTTAAATGACAATTATTTGTTATTGATTCTTTCAATGTTTGATAAGCTTGTGTATTTCGACTCATTGGACCTGTTAAAATTCCATTTATAAATTGAATAAGAAGACGAACTAAATTAACCAGAAACAAATTTTTTATTATTATTTTTCTTTGTATAAAAATATTAATCATCAATACTTCGTAGACGATCATCTACAAGATCCATTCGTTTACCACCATCAGTTAATAAATAAAAACATTCAAGCCTAAAGAAAATAAAAAGAAATTTATTCTAAAAGAAAAATTTCTTTTTTTTTTACCATAATCCTGCATCATTTTCATTATCGATTTTATATCGAGCAAGAAAATCAAATGAAAGCCATAAATTAAAAAATCGTCGTTGTAATTGCTTAAATAAAAAAGAAATCATATTTTAAAGCGCTTATTTATATTTGTATATTAATTCTGGCTAATATTTCTTTCAATTTATCATTAATTTTTATTTTAATTATTCTTCATAAAATCTCTGCTCTAACAACATTTGCATCTGCTCATCAATTATTTCAATGTATAGATGAACGAAAATTTTTCTTTAATTCATTATTATATATACCACATAAATGTTTTCCTAATCAAACTATTATTCATGTTACAAATATTAAAAATATTATGTATAAATGTTCAAGTAGAAATTTGAATGAAGTTATAGGATTTATGAATATATTTCCAATAGACATAGATTTTGATCAATATAAAATAGATAATTCGTCATTATTTATTGATATAAACTTATCGAAAAATTTTCTTCAATGGAAACATTCAAGAAAAAAATATATTAATTTACATATGAAAAGTAAAACAAAATTTAATCATTGTAAATTTCAGTTAGGCATGAATAATTGTTTATTATCAAAATTTCAAAATTATACAATTATTGATCAATATTGTGAAATAGTTTATAATTCAGTGAAACATATTAATCATATGATTAATATCAGTTATGACATAAATCATAAGATTTTTCCATTAATGATAAATTCGACAATACAAGTTTCTAATTCAACTGAAAAATATATAAATTATTCTATTATTATTCTTATTAGTTCAATTGTTTTAAGTGTATTAGCTTCGATAGTTATCAGTTGTATTCAAAGATGTCGACAACAAAAATTGGATGTGATTAAGTCACCATCGACTACAGATATTACAAGCGTAAATAGTACATCACGTACTAATACACCATTACTTATATAGTACTAAAATAGCGCATAATCTTGCGAGCATGTTCTACACTCTATGCTACTGTTGTGTTTAATTATAAATCAAACATGATAGAACAACTGCTCAAAAGAGAAAGAGGGAGAGAGAGATTTGTGATAAAATATAAAAATCAATACTACACTCAATAACATACCTCATTATTCATCGTAAAGTGCATGGCAATATATTTATTATTTGCATGAAAACTTGATTGAAAAAAAATAACTTTCTATTTTTATTAAACTTGCATGAAATTCTTATTGATTTTCTGTATACATGTCTTATGACCATCTTATTTTAGTTTTCGTTTGACGTCATCTGATGCATCCAGGTGAATAATAGCGATACTATTATATCTAATGCTTGTTTTTTTCGCACATTTATCATCATACACTAAAAACAAGTCACAATCAGCAAAGGTATATGACTGTTAAAATAATTATAGTTGACATAGAAAACGATATGAAACGTTCATGTCTTTTTTCTAGAAAGCTCATACCCCCAGGTAAATTTACCCTTTAATTAATGAATATAAAATCAGTGAATAAAACACAAAACATACCAATATACAATATTTTTAAAAAAAAGTCTATATTTTCTTTTTGCGCTTGCCTTTCATCGTTACATAGCAAGGTAAGCAGTAACATATATCTGAGAAATGAATATTTAAGCACAAAAATAAAAATAAAAAAAAACAAAATATCAAAAATTTTAATTCTTGTTTTTTTTAGTTTAATATTCGAACAAGTCTAAGACCAATGACATTGAAAGATTTTTATGCAAAAAGAAGTATATCCTATCAACCCGAATCTTCTCATCAATCATCAACAAGTGAAACGAATGAACAAAATCATCATTTAAGTCATGCGAGTACAAATCCAAAATTGAGACGAATACGAACGTCTTTTTTCAATTTAATACATTCGCATCGATCAGCAAATGGTATTGAAAATAAAACTATACATCAACAACAAGAATCTTTAACACGTCGTTCATCATTTATTAAATCATCTGACATAGCACCATCTCTAGAGAAAAAAACTGTCGCATTTGCATCTGTTTTTGATGAACCAACCAATGAATATGATGAAGATCATTTGGTAAGAATTTACAAATTATTATTATACTTCAAATAGTTATAAAAACTCTTTTTCTTTTTGTTTTCTTCATTAGGATAGTAATCTTGAAAGTAATATTAACGACGAAACAGTATCAGAAAAGGATCTTGTTACTGTTATTTCAAACAAAGAAAATGATGACGAAATACCGGTAAAACAAAATTATTTAATTAAGTCTGAAGAAAAAAAAAAAAAGAAAAATTTTGTTTTCGTTCTAATTTAGACTGATCCAAACAAAAATATCGAACCCTATCCATTTCGCTCGGAAATACAATTACCTTCATCTACTCAATCAAATTCAGTAGTTGGCGACACTACTACACATCATCGTCACTCGCGAAAGGACATCATCGATCGCTTTATCCACCATCATCGTACAAAAAAACTTCATACTAATCCAACTGTTAAATATATCAGTTCAACAAATCGATCAAATTCAACACCTGACATAATGATTTCATCCTCATCATCTGCAACTCCCACAAAAGTTAAAACACGTGATCCACGACGACCATTACAAGCTATTCGTGCATGGCTTAAATCATTATCATTACGTTCTTCTACCCCAGCAGTTCATAAACATCCACAAGAAAATGATTCATCAAAACATCAAAAACCACAAATTGCTCGTCGATCAATTGGATTACGAAGATTTTCTGAACTTCAATATTAATACAACTAAACTTACTTCTATTTTGATTAATTCTAATATACATTTGAATGCACATAGACGAATTTCATTATTCATTAAACCATGTTGTTCTTCATTTGTCAATAAACCTGTTACACATAACCAAATACTTCCTAAAGTTATCTATAATACATAAATAAAATTTATTTTATCGAAACAATATATATATATCTTTACATACAAGATCAATATCCGAATGTGTTATACATTCAAACATATGTTTAAGTGCTTCAATTCGTTCAGCATTTTGTCCATTTGTAATACTCTGAATGTACTAAATAAAATAACAATAAGAATTAAGATTAAAAATAATATTTGATTCAATATTTACTTGTGCTGGATTATAAACAACAACAAAGGCTGTTGTTGAAACTGGAGGTCCGAGAGCCATTTTCATGTGCAAAAGATGAATATACTCTCTTAACACACACGCTCGATAAATGACGGGTTTTTTTTTAATAATACAATATTAATCTCATCTATTCAAAAATGAAAATATATATATATATATATGTAGCCTATAAGTTTTCTTAAGCATAAATATCTAGCGCCATGTTAACTAACACAAGAGGGCAAACGGGTAAAGAAAAAGAATGCGACAATCAGTCGTCCTTTCTCTAGCACAAAAAGAGAGAGAGGAGCTAATCAGCTGCTGTCTGTCAAATGAATCCAATAAATACCGAGAAAGAATAAAAAAAATAAATATAGAGGTCAGTCAGCAAAGATATATTTCAATTTTTATTGGACATATACAACACATACATTTTAATCTAAGTGAAATAAGAATACAACAACAACAGAAATATATTATTATTATTATCATAGATTCATTCCATTCGATTTTCTTTTCTTTTTTTTTAATTATTTCAAATAATATAAAATGGCTGAAATCGTCCAAAATCCAAATCTTGGTACTCGTCGTAAATTAGAATTACTTCTACAAGAAATGGATACAATATGTCGTGAAATTATTTCACAATTGTATAATTCATCATCATCATCAACATCATCATCAACAACAACAACAACAAATAACAATAATAATAATAATAATAATATTGATACACAGACATTAATTGATATGTTTATTGAACGACAAAATTATTTAACAGAACAAATACGTATTGTACGTGAACAACAAGAATTAGAACGACAATTACAAATAAAACGTGATGAAATTCTTAAATGTGATCGTGCATTACGTTGTTTACAAACATATTTATTACAAGCTGTACAAGTACTTTCATCAGCTGTTTATCAAGCACGTGAAAAAATATCAAATATACGTCGTGCTAAAACATTTCCATCGGAAACCATTATTCGTTATGCACATCAATTAGCATCATGTTATTCAACAATAGCACCAGATAATTGGCAACAAGGAGATATTCGACGACCATATCCAACAAATATTGCTATGAATCGTGGTCTACTTGGTCGTATTAGTGAACAAACATTGCAACAACAACAACAGCAACAGCAACAACAACAACAACAATTAAATATACAAAATTCAACAATAAATACAACAACAGTTGTTAATTCATCTGCACAACAAAATACATCTTCATCATATACAGCTGTAACAACAGCTGTACGACCACCAAAACATGATACAACATCATTTGCATCAGATATTTTTGCAACATTAAATGAAGACACAAATACAACAAATGTTTCATCAAGTGATACAGATTCCGATGATGATTTATTATAATTATTTATTATTATACTTTATATGTATTGTAGAATATTTATCTTCATATAGATCTTGTTACTCTTGTATTAATTCTGAAAAGAATTTTTTGTTTACATTTAAATGTGTATATGTTGATTAAATTATTTTTGATAGTTTTGTTTTGTTCATTGTATTTCTTGCAAAACCTTAAAAGTTACTTATTGTTATATTGTTGAAAAAAGCAATTATTATTGCACGATATAATTTTCTGTTTATTTATCTTGCAACTTATGAAGAAAATTCTTTAACTGATAAATTTCTAATGAGTGAAGACTGCATGCATTGTATAGATCCAAATGAGTTATGAATATCCTGTAAATTTGTCAGGCCCCTAGTTGATTACTGCCTAGAGACAAATCTTCAGGAGAATAGTATTTTGTGAAAATTTCAAATCTACCAGAATATATCACTATGAAAAACAAGGGTCGAATAATAAACCCGCACTATTCGTTTATTACCATTATATAAACCCTTTCTGTTCATAAACCTTTTTTTGATTATATGAATGGAATAAACCGTTAGGTGAAGGTTTATCATTGCACGTTTTAAATGCAACCGTAGAATAACAAATACTTCGCCCCGAATGTTCATTCAGTTGACATACCCAAAAAAGCTTATGAATACAGAAAACAGTACAAGGACATATGAATTTGCAACGCGCCATCAATCTTTGTCAAGGTTTAAGAAGAAAAAGGGCTTATCAAATGATAATAAACAAATAGTGAGGGTTTATTACTCTACACCTTTTTTTTTGCAGTGATGGGCGATATAACAGCCACGCTTTTACCATAGTTGTATTTTAGGATAGGAACAGTGAAAAGGTTTGAAGCTTTTATAATAAAAAAAAGCTATTCTCGTCAAGGCCTCTATTTATGCAAAATATCAAGTTGAAATTTGAAAAGCAGCTCTTCTGATATTCCCGAGGAGGACTAGAACATTGATTTAAAAAATACTGTAAAAGTGTGAGATGTTGGTAGCAATATGCTAAGAGATTGAACTATTTTCAGAGTGCTCACAGCTCATTTAGAGTAATATAATGAGCTTATTTTTTTGTTTCAAACACTTGTAAAATAATTTCTTCGATAATTCTTATGCACTTGCATACGGCAACTCGCTTAAGTTCTCTTTTTTTTAAGGAAAATTTTAATGCTTTAAGCATTGAATCTTCATTGACATGTATAACTTCAGTTTAATTTATGTGAAATCTTACAGACAAAACTTTTGTTTTTTTTTTGAAAAGTGAAAAATGGACTAAATTTTAATAGTAAAATTCAAATCAACTTTGTCTAACTTGAAGTAAACGTTTTAATTAGATAGATCTCTTCCATCGAGAACAATCGTCACCATAGTAATTATTGTTATCTCTAAGTATACAAAAATTAAAAAAAACTTTCAAGCTATTGTATCAATACGAAAAAATAAATTAGGAAAAACTATCAAAAATTAAATAATCGATTTGTACAGATACAAATCTTTAGCTCAAGCGTTCTGAGAAACTAAGCTGATGGATCAGATTTCTCCTAGAGAGAAGGAATTTGTTTTTAGTAATATTACTAGAAAAACAGATTTTTTATTTTCATATTGATAAATATTTTTTTTTAACATATATAGATAAAATCTCAATATCAACGTTCGATATTAAATTTCGGATCAAATTAAAGGAAAATTCAATCTTAAATTATTCACAACATTTTAAATATAACTTCAAAATTTCAATACAACATCGAAACATTAATGTTAAGGTTTGAAAGAATGTTTTGTTCAATGTTTAGTCGATTACAATTATTTTCTTTAATGCAGATATTTCGAAAGATGTCAAAAATTAAACAAACCATTGTTTTTACAATCATACAATTTGCTTAAAAATGGAAGACAGAAAGTATTTTACTCACAGTACTTGATTTGAATAAAACAAAACGATTTTACTTTCGTGAATCAAATACGGAGGCTGTAACAGAAAAAAAAACAGACCGAAGAACTATGTAGATCATATAGTTAGTTGAAATAGAACGATCATGTACAATTTCATGGATTTGTGAACTTCATCTACATATCCAACGAATAAAGAAAAGAAAGAGAGAGAAAAAAAGAAATGACGCAATATGAACACTAGTACACTGCATTTAAACATACAAGTATAGAGGTACACACCTCGATACATATAATTGTGTAACTATTTTTCATTCGTAGTTAGATTAAAAGATTTCTTTTCATTAGTATTTATGAATAAGGCAATCAACCCGATAGAATATCCAAGATATTCATTTGTCAAGAATAAGAAGTATGATGCATTCAGGTCAAAAAGTACGGTCTTAAACGCTAGTTTTTCGATGTTTTTTTTTCATCGTTTAGTAGGGACAGTATTACAGTCGTATTTCACTGTATTGTACACGATCAGATATTCGATTTTCAGACCGTTATAAACGGTGTACGATGTGATAAAATATGGTCGTAATATTGCACCTGCTAAATATCAATTTATAGCTATTTTTGACCGTGAACTGTGTAGAACGATAGTACACAATACCGTTTTATGGATACCTCGGCGCCTGCAATTATCATTTGGGGTAGCCATCATGCAAAATTCGATGAGTTTCAGTAAATGCGTATCATATTTTATTTATGAGAAAAAATCCACTTTTAGCAAAATTTATCTCGCCATAGAAGTCGTAAGTAAAGATATCGGTAGTGTACTTTTGATATGAAGATAGAATTGATCGTAAATAGTTTATATTGTGATTAATAGAAGGACCATGAGAGATCACTAACACTCATTTTTACTTTACTTGTACGATTAGATATAGATCTTCATTAAATTTAGAAAAAAAAATAAGAACTCGTAAGATTTTACAATTATGATTGAGTAAGTACGTTTCGATTTATTTTAATAGACATAAAATAAATAAACGCTGAATATTTAATTTGAAACAATTGTTAGTCATTCTCATTGATATTCATTCAAAATACGATAAGAGCGTTTACGAAATAAACTTTTCTTATCTATTAAAAATAAGTTCTTATAGAAGATATTATTATAAAGATAAAGTTAAACGCGAGCTATCACAATGTTTTAAAATGCAATGCCATAGTAACAAATTTTATTTCATACTTTTGAATCAAATATACGAACGAAAATTGTAGAAAAAAAACCCAATTTTTTAAAATACGAATATACATATTTAAGTTGTCGCACCTGTATTTATTCTAGGGTTGCTATGAAATGCTTAGCACCATGATATGATCATTATTAATCGATATCTACACACGATGTCGTATACTGTAGATGCTCTTTTTCTTTCTTATCGTGTCGTTATTATTACACTGCATTCTTTCTTTCGTTCTTTCTTTTCAACAATATAACAAAATCGTGTGTTTATAATAAGAAATATTGTTAAAATATTTTTTCTCTCTTAATAAATAATACGACAAATAAACGCTTGAGGGCACATGTACGGATCAACAAACCTGCGGCACCCCCATTTTTTCATGTATTCTGTCAACATATTGTATAGGGTGTCGTTTCCCTGGAAAAGACCTATTCGAGTGTATGACAATTGCGTATTTCTTAATGAGGTCTTACGATTTTTTTGAAATTTCAGATTATTTGTACTGCAACAATGATAACTCATAACGATAAAATATTATCATTGGAA